CGTGGGGGATGGCTGGGAGCTGGGGGTAAAATCCTGGCTCTCCCCTGTCCCCGCCAGCCAAAAGCTGGCAGCAGGACAGGCTGGGCGGGTCGAGTCTCAGGACAAGGGGCGGGTTTAAACCCCCATTGAGGTGGCACTTGGTGGGGGCGCCTCTGCCGGACGGAACCCTGCCGGGGTCTCAGCCACAACCCCCGTCGCAAGACGGGGGCAGAGGCCCAGGCCTTGGGCAGCCAGTGCACCAAGTGGTGCCAGGCTCTGCCTGCTGTCCGCCCAGCGGCAAGCTCTGGGGTTTTTATGATATGAAAAAGCTGCTAAGGGACACCCATAAGTAAGACCAGCGTTAGTGTAGGTGAGACACTAATTTCTGGTGATTCCCAGGAACAGGGACATGAAACCTTAATGTATGTGTGGGACTGAGAGCTGAATGTTTGGAGTAAGCAAACCTTAGTCCACAAACATGATTGGAACACAGGGTGCAGCACAGGACATTCCCAGCTTGGTTTTGGCTCCAACTGGTCCACATTAAGCACAGAGTTGAGCCACGGTGTCTAAGGCAGGGGTCATGACAGGTGGATGGGGCTGTGGCAGGGTCTGGATACAGTCGTCGTCTCCCTTGGCACAAATGTGGATTGGGAAAAGACGTACCGGGCCCGGCCAGACCGTAACACCTTCTGGTGCTTTGGAGTACCAGGGTGGATGTGGGATGGACTAGGCTAGGTCCCAACCTCAACTGAGCCATATACGAGCTATATGGGGGCATGGACGACCGTGGCTGGGCTGAAACACTCTACAGCAAGAACCAGAATGGGATGATGGCCAGTTAGGAAAGGCCACTGTTCCTGCTAGGACAAGAGGCGAACTGGCACATGGACCCACTGGTATGCACGAAACCTGGCACATGGAGGGGTTCTGATGGAGGAGCTCGGGCAACTCCTCTGGCAGGACACAGACCCCGCAGGTCAGCGCAAGAAACATGGAAGGTAACAGCCAAGAGGTCATGGAAAGTGTCCCACTGGCATGCATTTGGCATGGGTCGGGGGCAGACCAGGCTGAATCTGTTCATGTCATCCACTGGTAAATCTGATCGCCAGAACAGAGTGTGGGTCGAACCAGGTCCAGTCGTGACAAAAGCAACACACAAGTTGGAATGCCAAGGTGAGGTAGCCTGAGCCAGATGCAGCCGCAGCACCCAACCAGCACACGTGAGAACCAGGAAAGGAGGAGGCAGAGCTGACAGGGGAATAAGGGGAGGTTCCCTAGCTGAACAGCAACTTACACTGAGGAGCGTGAGCTGGGTAGGGGGTAGACCAGACCAGGCAGGGACACAGCACCTGTGCACCTCATGTGGACCAGATTGGGTGAAAACCAGGCTGGGCTGACTATTCCCACTGGTGCAAGCTACAATCAGAGTTGGTGAGGGTTGTTGGGGCTTAGTTGTAGCACCAGCTGGCGGAAGCTGGTACAAAGGGTTAGACACGTTGAGTTGAACCACAGGGCCAACTGGAGAGGGCACAACTGGAATGGGAGCGACCTGGGAGGGAAATAGTGGGCTCCTCCCTCGTGGGTCATCACCTTCCACGGGAGGGCATGGGAACTAGGACAGGGGCTGGGGTGGCTAGACAGACACCCAACAATATCCGTTAGGGACGGTAGGAGGAGATGGTTGGATGGAAGTAGGTTGCAACACCTGTTGGCAAGTATATGATCAGAAGGGTATTTGGGACAGACTGGACTAGTATGCCATACATACTGGCAAGCCAGGGTAGGGGGTGGGCCTGGTTGGGGTTACTGTGGGCCGCCCTGACTGGGCTGCAACTCCTACTGGTACGTGCGAGGGACAAGTGCGTCCAGGGCGGAACCAGGCGGGACTGCAAGAGGACACGGGTGGAGACAGAACCGACCCAGCAACTGCAACCACCAGCTGATCGGGGCAATGGACTGTGCCGGGCCCTATGCTACTAGAACATGCAGGAATCTGGACTGGGAATACCTCAAAATTTCTTTGAGGATCTCCCCAGTCGAGACACCGGACTCAGAGTCCTAACCAAGAAAAGACAGAACAAGTCAAGCAACAACCTCAGCTATCTGTTGGCAGCAAAATACTGGGCAAATGGAGACTCTAGAAGGGACTGTGTCAATCAATGGACTCTTCAACGACCACATCGTGCTTGGAGTGGCGAGACTGGCAGCGACCCATGAATGGTGAACTATTGGAACCACTTGATCGAGTATCTCAGAGCATGCCCCACATCTGGGACTTAGGGTGGGTGGGAAACTGGGTGGGGCTTCTCCCTCTATATCCCCCTTTAGGCCTTGAACCTTTTTTACCCCAATTAAATTTGTAAGGATTGTCAAAATTTAAAAAATAAAATTAAAAAAAAAAAACTGTGTATAAGAATCTTTCACAAGGTGTTACTTTTAATTTTGAAATGCATAAATAAACAAAATTATGATCTACATTTGAAGCTATATATAGTAATGATTTTAAAATGTGTAATATAAGGATTAAGAATTCAAAAATTATAATGTTAAGAGAAATGTGGGGCAGGTGCCTTGGGTCAAGCAGCTAATCTCCCAACTTGAAGAGCCAGCATCTCATAGGGGCACCATTCATGTTCTAATCCCAGTCAGCCCCACTTCCCATCCAGCTCCCTGCCTGTGGCCTGGGAAAGCAGTTGAGGACGGCCCAAAGCCTTGGGATGCTGCATGAGAGACCTAGAAGAAACTCCTGGCTTTGGATTGGATCAGCTCAGCTCTGTTATGGCTATTTGAGGACTGAATCAATGAATGGAAGATCTTTCTCTCTCTCTCCTTCTCTCTGTAAATCTGCCTCTCAAATAAAAATAAACCTTTTTTTTTTTTAAAGATTTATTTTTATTATTTTTTCATTGGAAAGGCGTATATACAGAGAGGAGAGACAGAGAGGAAGATCTTCCGTCCGATGATTCACTCCCCAAGTGAGCGCAACGGGCCGATACTATGCCGATCCGAAGCCAGGAGCCTCTTCCGGGTCTCCCACACGGGTGCAGGGTCCCAAAGCTTTGGGCTGTCCTCGACTGCTTTCCCAGGCCACAGGCAGGGAGCTGGAAGGGAAGCGGGGCTGCTGGGATTAGAACCGGCGCCCATATGGGATCCCGGGCGTGCAAAGCGAGGACCTTTTAACCACTTGCGCCACCGTGCCGGGTCCAAAATAAACCTTTTTTAAAAAAGAGAAACTTAGTGTTGCACAATGAGGTATTACAGTAGATTGGTTTAACTCAACACCCTTTATTATGTATTCCTGTATCAAAGAGGTGGGAAAGTCAAACTCTATAAAGTATTTCCCTCCCTTGTAGCTGGGGATTCTGACGGAACTGGTCTAATCAATCAGGCATACTCACTTGAGACTTCACTCAGAGCCGAGATGCATCAGGAAAGAGACAGGACATGAGGTATCCATCTTGAGTTGCACAAGCGTGGCAGAGGCGCTGCAGTTCTGGAGCTGGCAACTGTTCATGTCTTCCTCTGGCAGGCAGCTTCTTGGTCGATTCAGAGACAGCACTTCCTCAGGCAGTTCACTCTTACAATGCAGCTCCTAGAAGCTCAGCCTGTGTCTATTTTTCCCCATCCTACCTAGATTCCTTAACCAACCTCTTTCTGTTTAAGGAAACATAAGGATCTTCTTTAAGAAGATCCTGTTACCTCCAACCAAGAATCTTGACTTGTACAAAATTAGATAACTAGAAGAAAGGTACAGGAAGTGCTAAAGGACTTAAAATGGTGTGGTTCACTTAACTGAGGTAACTGGTGTTTGGGCAATGAGACTGAGGACAAGGTATCAGAGAAAATGGTGAGAATACGCTAGCTGCTTCTTGTCACTTTCAGCAAAGTCTTACAAGAGAAATGCAACTCAAGCCAATGTTAATTCTACAAAGATGGAAGGCAATATAACTTTGCCAAAGGATTTGCTCTCTGCTGACAACAAAAACTGACAAAAATCCCAAATCATGAGCCTTGGATAATTTAAAATCAAGGCTCTGCTACTCCAACCTGAAACAGTCTTAAGGCTCTGAGGAAGCTGTTAAATCCTTGTCACATTTTCTCAAGAACCTTCGCTTAACAATTTTTGGTCAAGTAACAGAAGCCATCCTGGAGCAAAGACCAGTCCAGACCATCCCCATCCAAGCCAAGTCTAGAGTCTGAAAGCTCTCAGGTAGGTACTGTGTGTGTCCATTCAGGACACAGAGGCCAGCAGGGGATTGACAGGGTTCTTGGTTTAAAATGATGTGATTTAAACTACATTAAAAAAATGTCTTTGGGGACTAGCACTGTGGCATATAGCACATTAAGCTACCACCTGCAGTGCCAGCACCCATCATGGAGTATTCCATTTTTGATCCAGCCTTCTACTAATGTGCCTGGGAAAGCAGTGCAAGATAACCCATGTGCTTGGGTCATATTACAGACCTAGGGGAAACCCAGAGATCCCAGCTTTGGCCTGGACCACCCCACTGGAGCCACTTCAGGAGCAAGCCAGTGGATAGAAAATCTCTCTTCTCTCTCTCTGCCTCTGCCTTTGCCTCTCCCTCTCTATAACTTCACCTTTCAAATAAATACATCTTTTTAAAAATTAAAAATTTTAAAAACTGTGATTATTTACAAAAATGATTGAAGAAGACAGTTTGGAAGCTTACTAAATTTTAAGAATTCACTTGGCCAAGAAACAAAACAATAATACAGATCCAGAAGTGGCTTGTAACAGCCTGTAGCTGCTAACAGGACCACAATAACAGGAAGTGAACTTCTAACACTGTCCAGCCTATAAGAAGGGCCTATATTTAACACATGAGTCAGATGACAAAAAAAGATGTTTACTATGTGGAGAAAATTTCAGAAGAATGAATCAGGGACAGAAAATATCATACCAAAGGATGATTAGTAGCAAGCAGTACATTTTGATTTTGATGAAACAGTAATCACTATTTTTGAATTTTCCCCAAAATTCAACTTGAATTCAGTTGTCCTACACCTAACACATGATTCATGTGATGCTCTTGGGACAGAGAAGTTGTTTTTAGACTGTAGGAGACCATCCTTAACATGCTGGGCAGGATGACACCTAGATAGTATGAGCTTCGTGCTCATGTGTGGTGATGGAGTAGACTTTGGATGGATCCTCTTTGGGATGGGACGAGTGAGTGCTGAGTATCAGAAGCATTTCCATAAACAGTCAAGCAGCCAGTGAGGCTGACTGGAGTGAAAACACTGAAGTCTGTCTACCCATATCCCCCCTCTCTCCTTAGTAAAGCCATCCTAGCTTTTAGATGGACACACAGAATTCTCTCCTAGGTTCAGGCCTGAAGATGAAATTCAGTATTGCTGCTGCTTCTGGAGAGTTATCTCAAGAAAGCAGCTGAGTCCCCTGGGTTTTGCCCTTCCCCACCACCTCCAGAAACAAGCCTGGACCACAAGAGTGAAGCAAAGTTGAAAACCAAGCCATGCGCCAGGCTCACACAACCCAGACACCCCTACTTCCAGATCTCTGTTATGCCGAAGGAAACAACTCCCCTGTAGTTTAAATCACTTTTATCTTTGGTTTTTCTGTTAGGTGTAGCATAACCTAACCTTATATAATAAAGTATAGAGTAAAAATGTGAAAGAAAGATGACCTGAAGTGGTAACAAAAGTTTTTCAGAATCTGTAGCACAGAAGGCTGCTACACTAAGGAACATTTTCCAGGGAGCACTAGGGAATAAACATTTTTTTTTCCAGAATTGTCAATACCAAAAAGACATTATTGAGAGAGATGATAAGCACCCATGAAAGAATATTTATCTTTGTGAGTGAGCACTATTTATTTTAAAAGCAACCGGCAGAGCTTTCTCACTTACTGCTGTTTCCCCTTAACACGGCATAAAGCCACTTAATCAAATCACTAAAGGAAAACAAAGAAAAAAAAAAAAAGAAGGTATAAACATGACTTTGTTTTTTTCTTGATCTGGTAAAATTCAAATCTTACATATCTATATCCAAAGAAATACATGCTTGTTTCAAAGGCACTTTCCTTTATTCAAAAAATGCTTTAAAATATTACTTGAGCAAAGAAGAAGAACAGGACATAAAAAGATGAATCAGATGTTAACAGCTTTCTTTCAAGTTCTGACTGACTTTGGACTTCAAATGTCTATTCAAAAAAATAGTCTTGGCCCAGCACAGTAGCCTAATGGCTGAAGTCCTCAACTAGCATGTGCCGGGATCCCATACGAGCGTTGGTTCTAATCCTGGCAGCCCCACTTCCCATCCAGCTCCCTGTTCGTGGCCTGGGAAAGCAGTCGAGGATGGCCCAAAGCCTTGGGATCCTGCACACATGTGGGAGACCCGGAAGAGGCTCCAGGCTCCTGGCTTTGGATCAGCTCAGCTCCAGCCATTGTGGCCACTTGGGAAGTAAATCAGCAGACAGAAGATCTTCCTCTCTGTCTCTCCTCCTCTCTGTATATCTGACTTTTTAATAAAAATAAATCTTTTAATATATATATATAGTCTCATTTTAAAGGTATTTTCCTTTACTCTGAATAATTTTTACATATATATATAATATCCAATTTAAAATTATACTTAGCTAGTCACATATAATCAGTTTAAAAAGATATTCTCTGCTATGATGACTATAATTGACTACAAAGAATTATGAGTAATGCTGAAATAATTCCTTTCACCACAAATATGGTTATCACATTATGTAGTATTGGAAATGGTTGATACATAAAAATTTTGAAAGGCTCTTTTGATTTTTCTATATTGCAAATTTTTCTGTTTCTATGAGTATATACAAAATAATACAAACCTTAATGATTTGAAATTGAATTACATTTATAGAAATAGGAAGTTAAATTTACAATGGTTTATTTTCTCATACTTATATACAAGAAAACAAAGTTACATACGTGGCTCAAACTTCAATTCTCCATTTGGTCCTGATGGAGGAGTTCCTTGTTGTAATTTCTTTTGTTCCATCTGCTGTACAACCTGGTGAATGGAAAAAGACTTAAAATTAAATTTCGCTTTTTAAAAAATATTTTTTTTGAAAGGCAGAGTTACAGAGAGAAGGAGAGACAGAGAAATGTTTAATCTGTTGATTTTCTTCCTAAATGGCCACAATGGCTGCAGCTGAGCCAATCCCAGGCCAGGAGCCAAGAGTTTATTCTGGGTAATACACATGGGTGTAGGAACCCAAGGACTTAGCCATCCTCCACTGCTTCCCCAGGCCGTAATCATGGAGTTGGATCAGAAGTGGAGCAGCCAGGACTTGAACTGGCACCCATATGGGATGCTGGCACTGTAGGTAGAAGCTAAGCCTACCGCATCATGGTGCCAGCCTGTCTCCTATCTTAAGAATGACCTTTGATAACGTGTGGCAAACTATATGAAATTATTTTCTAAAATGAATATATTCAAACTCTTAAAAATTGAAATTAGTAGTGAACAAAGCATTTTACCAAATGCCATGATTTAAAACAGCAGAGGCACTTACTCTGGAGATTACAACATAGCTAGGGATGCCGGAATCCCATACTGCACTGCTTGGATTGTCACAGCTACATTCCAATTCCAGCCTCCTGCAAATATGTGTCCGAAGAGGCAACTGGTGGGAACCCAAGTAACTGGGTTGCTGCCACCCGCCGAGGACACCTGACTGTGCTCCCAGCTCCTGACTTCCTTCAGGTCCAGCCCTGACCATTGCAAGTGAATTGGCTGATGAGAGCTGACTCTTGCTCTTTCTGTCTCTCTCAAACTCTTTCTCTGCTTGTCAAATAAAGTAATTAAATAAAATGCTATTAGCTCATAGTAACTTGAAATACTACACTGCAAAGCACAGGTCTTCAGCAAAGCATCCAGTATCCGGCTTATGCCAGGATCCCTTTGCCAGAAACGACCTGATGGTACTCCTGCTTCTGCGCCTGAAGCTGGTCGTGCTGACGTTGGAGCTCTTCTTTTTGTTTCTGAAGCTCATCTGCTTTCTTCTTCAGTTCATTTTCTTGTAAAGAGATCATTTTTTCATACTCTTTTAGTTCTTCTTCTGTAAAGAATTGTTGCTGATCCAATGTCTAAAAGAAAAAAAGAAGAAATGAGGATTAAAAAGAAGTTAGGAAGAAAGAAAAAACTAATGAAGTCCGAGTCAGCTTCCAAATCCTGTGATTAGTCAGGAGCCAGGCACATCACCCAGGTCTCCCATGTAAATGGCATCTTTTGCTGCTTTCCCAGGTACAGTATCAGGAAGCCGGACACAAGGTGAAAAGCTGAACTCAAATCATTGAAGTCTGATTCAGCTTCAAAATTCCATGATCAATTCTATAATATTAAACCTTTGTGTAAGAAAGGGGAAATAAGTAAGCATATATTCACGTATTTATTTACAAAGAAAGGACCAGGAAGGACAATCTAGAGACTACTGAGATTAGGATGAGGACAGCATTGTGGTACAATGCTTTAAACTGTTGTTTTTGACACTGGCATTACATTTTGGAATAGTGGTTCAAGTTGTAGCTGCTCTACTTCAGGTGCAGCTCCCTAGCAGGCCTGTGAAAGCCGTGGTGGATGCCCCAGTACTTGTGCCCTGCCACGGACCCAGGAGATCCAGATGGTGCTCTGGCCCACAGCTCTAGCCTAACGTAGCTTTGGCTGCTGTAATCATTTGGGGAGTGAATCAACAAACTGAATAAAACCTATCCTTCTCTGTGTCACTGTGGCTTTGATAGAAGTGTGAAAATAAATCTTTAAAAAATAAACAAAAGCTAACAGAAGTAAGTGGGAAAAGAATAAAATTTCTCTGCTTCTTTCTTGGTACAGACTGACTTTTTGGAAACTGATTATTGCTTCACACACTAACAAAATCAAATAAGATCCACAGGACAGAAAAACCTCAATATCTGAACGTAAAAATGGAAGCAAATAAATAATACCTTTATTTCAAATGAATAAGATAACTCACAAAAGAAGATGGGGAAAAGGGACCAATTTAAGGCACTTTTGCTCATAGTATTTGTACTATATGCCCTCAGATTAAAAAGTTTAAAAAAGCTTACACAAATAGTAATTCTTACTTTTGTATCATAAGTTTTGCAACTCTTCGTAAATCTAGGATGGAGCAAATATGCAAAATATTTTTGTGGATAATAGGATTAAGTTTTACATGAAATATAGAAAGAGTAAAAGAATGTTATGTTACAATCTGAGATGTCGAACTGAAATGAGGGATATTGGTTATTGCACTCGTGAATTATGATAAATGTTTTTTTTTTAAAGATTTTTTATTTTTATTGGAAAGGCGGATATACAGAGAGGAGAGACAGAGGGGAAGATCTTCCGTCCGATGATTCACTCCCCAAGTGAGCGCAACGGCCTATGCTATGCCTATCTGAAGCCAGGAGCCTCTTCCGGGTCTCCCACACGGGTGCAGGGTCCCAAAGCTTTGGGCCGTCCTCGACTGCTTTCCCAGGCCACAAGCGGGGAGCTGGATGGGAAGAGGGGCCGCTGGGATTAGAACCGGCGCCCATATGGGATCCCGGGCGTGCAAGGCGAGGACCTTAACCACTTGCGCCACCACGCCGGGCCCAATTATGATAAATGTTGATAAAAGTTGCAAGGTATACACAAGGTATATATTAGTAAATATGTTTAAGTGTGCATCATAAGTGTATATGCACATACAATGAAGACATTAACATGACAGATACTAGTTACACAGCAAATATTTTGCATTTATTATTTATATATTATTCATATTATATATTTTTTCATTCCTTATTTCTGTCATCTGAAAGGCCTTGGAAGCTATGACAATCCAGTAGCAAGGGACACACTGAGGGCTCAGATTTGGGTCTGTAAAATCAATCTCTATAGCTCCTAGGAAAAATGGTTGATTCCACAGGTGGGACAAATAAAGAACAAGATGAACTTTGAACTTATTTTACTAAAAGTAAGGACATCCTCAAAGAATGACAGCGATATTAAAGTGCATAAAAGTCAGTTCAAAAAAACTCACACTGGCCAAACCTGGGGCCATCTGAGCATGGGGATAAATGCTAGCAAAGGATTAGAGTTCACCAACTAAAATAGACACGTGGCAAAGGCTAGCTTTTCCTTGCAGTGGAAAACCAACGGACTGTGACACAAGCAAGATGAGATCATCATGTCACCACAGTGACAACTGATTCTGGCCAGCACCATCAGTGCAGGCTGTTCTCAAAGTATAATCCCACAATGTGCGCTTTTTTTTAAACAAAAGTATATTCATTTTCTATTGAATGGTACAATGCTTTGGAAAAGCACTTCTGTAAAACAACTCTACACTCGTGAAAAGTTTTGCTCATAAAAATGTATTTATAATGACATGATGTCTTTTAAAAACCATTAAACTGGGAATAACCTATATATCTAACCTCGAGAAAATAGTTATGTATTCACAAAGCTAGAAAAGCAATGCTTCAGAAAATGCTTTTTATTATGCTGAGTGGATCTTTTTTTAAAGCTGATTTGGAGTTCTGGTTTAAAGATGGGCTAAAACACACATTTTTTTAAATCACAAGAGGCAAAATAGTGACAATTATTAGGTCAATTAAAAAACATTGATTTTTAAGGGATCTTTTTAAAAGATTCATTTATTTTTGGAAAGCCAGACTTACAGAGAGAAGGAAAGACAGACAGGAAGATCTTCCACTGCTGGTTCACTCCCTAAGTGGCCACAACAGCCAGAGCTGAGCTGATCTGAAGCCAGGAGCTAGGAGCCTCTTTCAGGTCTCCAACACAGGTACAGAATCCCAAGGCTTTGGGTCATCTTCTACTGCTTTCCCAGGCTACAAGCAGGAAGCTGGATGAAAAGTGGAGCAGCTGGGACACAAACGGGCACCCATATGGGATCCCAGCACAAGCAAAGCCCGGACATTAGCCATTAGGCTACCATGCCGGGCCTGAGATTTTGGGTCATCTGCTTTCCTAGGCTATAAACAAGGAGTTAGATGGCAAGTGGAGCTGCTGGACATGAACTGGTGCCCTTTTTGGATGACAGTGCTTGCAGGAGGAGAATTAATTAATCATTATTGAGCTGTCATGCTGACCTCTACATAATATTTTAAAAGGCAAAACAGCAAGTTTACAATAGGAATATCTGGTAGACGCTGCCTTAACCACACAATCAAACCTAACAGTGTCAGCTACGGGCCACATCAAAGCATGTGCCTACAGACACCATCCACCGAGTGTCTCTTCTGTACTGTCCAAGGGATATTCTGCCACACAATTGGCCTGATCTCTTTAAAACATCAATGCCAGGAAAAATACATGAAGACCGAGGAACTGCTTTGGATTACAGGAGACTAAAAAGACACTGCAACTCACTTCAATACTGACATGGTCTTTCTTTTGTTACAAAGAATGTCCCTCAGGAGATTGACAAAAACCAATGAAGTCAATGGGAGAGGAGTATGCTGTGTGTATTGGACATTTTACTATGATTAGGAAGACAAATCTTTATTGGCAAGAAACGTACACTCTAGTATTAGGGTGAGAACAGCATCATGTGCAATTTACTTTTAAGCAGCTCAAAAAAATTATATATACATCTATGACATCAGCATACACTTAGACATATATAATTACATGGTAACACACACAAAGAAAGAGATGAACAAGAAATAGAAAGAAAAAAGAAAGACAAAGCAAATGTAGTAAAATGGGCAATTTTGGTGAAGAGTTATTTATGAATTCCTAGCCTACTCTTTTAACTCTGAAATTATGTCAAAATTTAAAAGTACATAATTATTTATTGACCTTCTAGTTTACTAGATACACTAAAGAGAAGGCAGATTCATATAATCTTAGCATTCTTAATCAACATCCAGAAATATTTCAAACATTAAACAAAAACTCAAATGAGGTAGTGGGAGTAAGAGGGGCACTGGTGTTATGGTGTAGCAGCTTTAGGTGTTACCTTCAACTCTGACAATGACACATCGGTGCTAGTGCAAGTCCAAGCTGCTCCAGTTACAATGGAGTTCCCTGCCAGAGCCTGGGAAAAGCAAATGGCCTCCTGCTACTCACTTGGGAGACCTGGACTGAGTTCCACACTCCTAGCTTCAGCCAAGCTCAGCCACAGCAGCTGCAGGCATTTGGGGAGTGAACAGTGCATGGCAGTTCTCTCTCTCCCTCTCATATAAATAAATGTAAACAAGTTAAATAAAATACTCCATTGTTAGAAAAAAAAATACCCAAAACAGAAGCAGGCTGGTCCTAAACGAAAGCAGCCAACTGTCCTCAATTTTAGAACTTTTCAGTTTTAGAACTTTTCAGTTTTAGAAGTGAACATTTCCAGAGTCGGTGCAGTGACATGCACGCTAAGCCCCTACCCTGTGGTGCCAGCAATCCATATGGCCACCGGTTCATGTCCTGGCTGTTCTGCTTCCCATCCAGCTCTCTGCTTATGACCTGGAAAAGCAGTGAAGGCTGAGCCAAGTACTTGGGCCCCTGCTCCCACATGGAAGATCTGGAAGAGGTGCCTGACTCCTGGCTTTGGATCAGCTCAGTCCTGGCCACTGTGGCCATTTAGGGAGTAACCAGAAGGAAAATCACTCTGTCTCTCCTTCTCTCTGTAAATGCCTTTCCAATTAAAGTAAATGAAATTATTTTTTAAAAAATAAAACATTTCTACATCCTGGGGATCTCTAAGTTCTAGGTAAACCAGCAAAGTTGGTCTCTCTATCTCATACTATTTTTAGCACAACTGAAAACCTAAGTTAAATACAGTCTATTCATTTTTATGTAGAAGACAATATTCTTGCTTTAATGTTATTATTCTTTTAAAGTTGTGAATGCATTTATTTATAGCTGACTATGATGTAAACTGCATAATCCTCTGGAGCAATTTATAAGATATATTGATATATGATGAAATAGTACATATAATCACATAAAAATACATATAGTGAAAGATCATAATTATAATTAAGATATAATGAAAAACATTTTTAAATATGTCCAGTTTTGACAATGGCCTTATTCCTGAGATTTAACCACAGCTATCACATGGGACTGGCACCATGGCCTAGCAGCTAAAGTTCTTGCCTTGAATGTGCCGGGATCCCGTATGGGCGCCGGTTCTAATCCCAGCAGCCCCACTTCCCATCCAGCTCCCTGCTTGTGGCCTGGGAAAGCAGTTGAGGACAGCTGCACCCATGTGGGAGACCTGGAAGAACTCCTGGCTCCTGGCTTGGGATTGGCTCAGCTCCAGCCATTGCAACTGCTTGGGGAGTGAACCATCAGACAGAAGACCTTCCTCTCTGTCCTCCTCTCTGTGTATCCACCTTTCCAATAAAAAATAAATAAGTCTTTAAAAAAAAAAAAAGGAATCACATATATTGCCCACAAATGTGTACAAATAAGTGGGTGGTCATCACAGAGTTATCTACTACAGTAGAATAGTGGAATTTACCTAGAACATCTATATCTAGAGGAATGAAGCTATAAATCATGCCATACCTATACAACTGCGTGTGTAGTATCTCTTAAATACTTTTGAAGAATGAAATTGGAAAATGTTTACAAAAGATATTAAATTTTAAAAAAGCATTTCATGAACATGCAGAATCATTTATACAATGTGGAGCCATTTCTAAAAGCATAAATATGAATATACATGCATTTTTAAAATGTGGGATAACACACTGCTCGCTTATTTAAGGTGTGTCATACACACATGCACATAATAAATGCAAAGTGAATTCTAATCCAAATTGGCATAATGTAATGCATAAAATATATAGTCTCCTTCTGAGGAGTAGAATTAACTTCTAATTTATTCTTTAATAGTACTTATATCTGTAATTTTCAACAATGAAAACTATTTTACAGTTGGAAAATATATATCTTTTAAAAGTTTCCCAATTATATACAGTTGATTACAAATAAGCTATAAACTATTACAATCTTTCCAAGAAATTAAGTTCATTATTTTATACAGGTTGAGTAGCACTTATCTGCAATGTTTGGGATTTGAAGTATTGCAGATTTCAGGTCTTTTCTGATTTTGAAATCTCTGCATATACAAAATAAAATATCTTGGGGATAGGATCCAAGTATAAAGATAAATTGATTTATGTTTCATCACCTTATGCATAGATCCTGAATATGATTTTATTCAATGTTTTTAGTGTACCTGCATTTTGATAGGAGGTCAAGCATGGAATTTTCCTTGTCTGCTATCATGCTCAAAATGGTTTTGGAACATTTCAGATTTTCGATTAGGAATGCTCAACTACAGTGACATTTCCATTTCATTTAGAAAGCCAAAACAGACATACAACATAATGGGGGACAACAAAACTTAAAACAAAACTTAAAAAAGTCTGATGTAGAATTTCTTGAACCATCCAACCCTTTTGAAGTAGGTTCTATTACCTCCCAGCTGTCTGGTTCCAAGAATTCTTTTTTCTCTGTAGCCTTCAAAAACTCTTCCATAGTCACTAATCGGTCTTTGTTAGTGTCAACCTGATTGAAGGAAAACACAAATGTCAGACAGAATAAATCTAACTTCCATTCCTTACACACTAGTAACTGTCTTCTAACAGATGTTACTACACGAACACATAGCCATTAGGACTCACCTAACACCCACAGAAACTAGAGGAAAAAATATACAACGCTCAACACCCTAATAGAATCAGAAAAGATATGTTTCTCTTCCATACAATTCGATTTGGAAGATAAAAAGATACCTAAATATTTGATCATCACATTTGAGTCAGCTGATCAAATTGGCTGTGCCAAAACTGTTTTTTTTTCCTCACTATAATAAGTATAATCTTTCAAAGGCAGATGTTTGGGCATGAAAAACAACCATTCCAAAAGAGAAACTGCTTTTTTCAAGTTTGAAGTGTAAGGAGAAGATATGGATCATACATGCAAGAAGAAATGCCAGATAGAAGTGTGGAACTTAGGGAAAGCAGAGAGCTGGAGACAAACATCTTTTTTGTTTTAGTTTACCAGCATGTAGCACATACATTAAGACCCAGGAAATGGTCAGCATGGACTCACACATACCTTACTAGGTAGGACACAAAGATTAGTTACTCCTCACTAAGGTATTGAAGATTTCTCTGCACACCCCTCCTGAAACTGCTCTGTACCTAAACTGTTGACATATGCCTTGTTAGAGTTATAAGCCAGTTTAGACTATCCTAAAATCTGCCAAGTTCAGCAAAATCATGCTTTAACACTATAAACTGCTAAATACTAAAATGAAAATAGACAGGAGACAGCTGAATAGTACTCTACAGCCATTTTAAGGTGTCAATGAAGTAGTCACAGGATGTGGTTAAGAACTTGCATTTTTTTTTTAACATATTGGTTACTCAATACCATGTCAAATAATTCCATAATGTTGTAAATTGTTGTTGATGTTATGTTGTGGCTTTTAATTGATCGGGATGATATTCTGCCAGCTCTGCCTTCAGACCAGAGATGGTCTCCCCAAGAAACCATTGAATTTATCTGGACAATAAGATGCTGGACTCTATGCTTGGTATATGTTTGCAATGAAAGAATCTTGACTGAATTTGAACTGTAACACAGCAACAAGGTGGAGGAATCCACCATGGGGGCAGGGTACGGGGAGGAGTTGGAGGAATCTCAGAGCCTATGAAACTGTGTCACATAATGCAATGTAATTAATAAATTTAAAAAAAAGACCCAGGCAACTACAATGTCACCTAGAATTAAGAAAGTGAGATTAAGAATTAATTAAGAATTAAGGAAGTGAGAAAGCTAAGCCAAAAGCACTGTGACACTGAGAACTTAGGAAGAAGAGGGACAGCCAGCAAAAGAGAACTGGGAAGATTGGGTGTGTGACGCATGAGGAAACAAGGAGCTCTGGCGTTCCAAAAGTCAGGTGAAGGATGTACTTCAAGAAGAAGGGAAGCAGTCACCATGTCCAACACAGGTTAAGAAGTCAAGGAAGGGGGGCATCTCATGCCTGGATCCCAGACGATAGCCACCAGACGTGCATGTGATGAGCTGTCCCCGGGCCTGCCTGGGCTCTGGGCGCTGCTCCCTTCGGAGTGAGTACACCGAGGGGGGAAGTATCTGTGACTGGGCAGGTTCAGGGCCCACCGGCCACCCTCACTGAGTGGTGAATGGGATGGGGGAGGGACACGACCTTGGGCCTGGGGGTTTAAACTTCCAGCAGCCTCCTGGCCAGACTTTGCCAGAACCTGGCCTAAAACCCAATGACATGTATGAGAACTAGGTCTAAGAGTGGATTAAGTAGAAGAAATTGGGAAACTCCCCTGGCGAGTCATAGCTTTCACTGGTGAATATGTGGTCCAGACCTGGGGGTCAGACAAGCTGGGCAAAGTAGCTCCAACAGCTGGCTAATGTGTCAATTGGTAATGGAACAGGGTGGACTGGGCAGGACTGAGCAAACACTATGCAACCACCTGCTGATTGGACTGATGGACCGTGCCGGGCCCTGTATTTGCTAGTACATACAAGAATCTGGTCTGGGAACACCTCAGACAAAGTTTCTTTGGAGATTTCCCCAATCAAAATGCTGGACTCAGAACCCTAACCAAGAAAAAACAGAAGACAGAAAAGGTCAATCAACCATCTCAGCTACATGTTGGTAGCAAAATACAGGGCAAACAGAGACTCTATGATGGACTATGGCATTTAGTGGATTCTTCAAAGACCTCATAGTGCTTGCAGTGGCAAGATTGGCAGCATTCATAACTGGTGAACCATCAGAAACACTTGAGCAAGAACTTCAGAGCATGCCCTACATTTGGAACCTGGGGTGGGTGGGAAACTGGGTGGGCCTTCTCCCTTAATACCCCCCTTTAAACATGAAGGAAACAATATGGAAATAATAGTCTTATCCACTTTCCTATAGCCTTTGAACCTTTTTACCCTAATTAGCTATGTAAAGATTGTCAAAAATATAATAATTAAAAAAAAAAGAAATCAAGGAAGACGAGTCCATTGAACACGACAAGATGGAGGATCCTTGGAAGGTGAAGTTTCAAAGGAATGGTGGAGGCAAAGCCACATTCAGTACAGACCAGGGAGTAAAGGAAAGGTGCAGAATAACAGGGAGAGGAAGACTAGGCAACTTGATACAAAGTTTGAAAGTGACCAGAAGAGTGCAGAGTAACTAGAGATTTTGTAAGGAAGAAGACATTAGAGCATGTTTTCTGCTTAACGAGAATGATTCTATATAGTGAAAATGCTGATGCAATAGTGTTAGGGGGAGGACAACAGCTGGGAAAGTTCTTGAATAGAAGATTTAGAATGGGATCTAATGCAGAAGTGCAGGAAAGGGCCTCCAATAGGAAGAGCAATAGTGTATCTGGGAATAGAAGGCAAGGCAAAACAAAGGCATTGACAGACAGATTGGTGGGCAGATTTAGTAGTGGGAGGATGAAGTAACTCTCTTGATTTAATCTATTTTCGCAGTAGAATCAGAATCAAGGACAGAGGAGACAGGAAATGGAAGTGTCATAAGGTAAAAGGAGAAGTGAAAGTCAGACTGAGAAGTGAGGAAGTGAGCAGAGGGTGAGCTGACAACAAGCTCCTGTGACTGAAGTGGAGTCCACAGCCCAGTTAGCCTATTCCCCAGATTCATCAAAGGACACATTCCACTGCTTCAAACAGAACAGAGCGATTCACTCAGGAGTCAACACAATGTGCTTAGGTCATCATCACTTCTTTTTGCAAAGGGCACCACTTATGGCCTTTTGAACAAGTAGCATGCATCATTGTTTGGAGATCCAAGAAGTAGGAGAAAAAATTGAGTTGGATAAGCCAAATTGCAAAAATGATCAGTTGCTTTGATAAAGACAGGCACTAAAATGCTAGGACTCTGTGACACTTCAGATTATTATTTCCAAGTTATTGCTCCCTTCTGCAATAGGCTCATGTACCCCACCTACAATCACATAATTAGCTGGGACATCCCTTGGGAGGTACACATCCTTCTGCTTTAGCCACAGAAATTTTTTTTTTTTTATTACATTGCATCATGAGACACAGTTTTACAGGCACTGGGATTCCCCCCTCCCCTCCCCAAAACCCGCTTCCCCCCCCCCCATGGTGGATTCTTCCATCTTGTTGCATTACCACAGATCAAATTCAGTTGAGATTTTTTTTTTCCTTGCAAGCATCTACAAAACATAGAGTCCAGCATCTTATTGTGCAGATAAGTTCAACAGTTTCATGGGGAGACAGTCTCTGGTCTGAAGGTACAGCCGAAAGAGTATCATCCCAATCAATTGAAAGCCCCGACATTACATCAGTAACAATTTATAACGTACCAGAATTAGTTGATATGATATTGTGTAACCAGCATGTTCAAAGAGAGAGAGAGAAAACAACAACAACAACAAAAAAAGAGTACAAGTTCTGAACCACATCCTATGACTTCTACATTGACATTACAATTATTAGTTTATATACAGCTGGGTTCTATACACCTTAAAATGGCTATAGATTACTATTCAGCTGTCTCATGTCTATTTTAATTTTAGTATTTAGCAGTTCATAGTGTTGAAGCCTGATTTTGCAGAACCTTAGCCACAGAAATTTAAGGGGATGTAAGTCAGCTGGTCACAGTTGGGCCTAAGTCTTAAATACTATGGCATGATTTGGCTTAAGTCAATCACATCTCTGATGGTACCCTTAGGGATTACTTCTAGAAATTCCAAGGTCAGCCACAATAGTACCTGGCAAAGCCAGCCTAGCTCTACAACACTTAAATGCTGTCAATTCCTAAAGCTCAGGAGACACCAACAAGAAATAAATATTTGTTACCACAGTCTATTAAGGTATTAGGATTTGGGATTTATTTTAAAGACTAACAAGTTTTTAAAGTACCAAATACAGAACTTTAGTATTTCTCACTGTCAAAAAATGTTTTTGTCTGATAGACAGGCACATCTTAAGCTCTTTAAATATTTTTAAATTAATGATAGCATTTTTATACTAAGGGACTCTAGAATAACATTCTGGATCAAAAATGCAAAATTCAGTTAAGTATCTGGAGTATGCATTTATTTTTCATCCTATTATAAGATTCATGGCAAAAACTTGAATAATCACTAGAAAGAACATAAAATTTTAAAACATACCTCATTCATTACATGTTCCCTCATCCTAAGCCTTTCTTCTTCCATTTCTATCATATCATCCTCTTCATTTTTAGGATCATACACTTTCTCCAACTAAAATGAAAATTTTAAAACCAACATGAAAGAAAAGAATGCAACAGAAAGAGACTTCTGAGTACCTGATAAACACATTACCTCTTTAGTAAACAGGGCTTCTAATTCTTGTTCATCCAGGTAGCCATCATTATTGACATCTAAAATTTAAGCGTTACAAATGCAGAAATGGACTTTAAGGCCTTAAAAATAAATAACTGAAATGCAATCATTCATAAACAGTTTGTAAAACTGACACTGACATGAAAGGCCAAGGCATATGGTACAGAAAAAGATTCTTTTTTTAAGAATGGATCTCTATTTTAAATTTATTTATGTCTGAACTATTTTTCTCCAAATATGTAAAGCAAACATTCTACCAATAAAATAAATCTTAATATTGTGTAATAAAGCCTGTTAAATACAACCTAGCTAGTTTCAGAATGACTTTATATTGACAAAGAAGCTTGTAGTGAAACATGCAATGACTCAAAAGGAAAAGAAATACCAAACCACAGCTATCGACCTGAACTATTTCATCCTGGATGAGCAGTGGACTATCAATACTCTACAGACACGCTCTACACATTTACTATCAGGAAGATTCAATAGGAAATCTTGTCAGAAATCAGTCAATTAAAGTAAACATAATTTTTCAAGCACTAGAAATAAATGTTAATATTTGTATCAAATCTGTTACCATGTAATTTGAAAAATGTCTTGGGGTCAAAGTCATTAGGATCCAGTCCATCCGTCTCTTCCCATACCTCTTTCAGTTGATCTTTGCTTCCCTGTAAACCAATTTTGGAAAATTGCTCAAAACAAAGTATATATATATATACGTATATATACAGATTCAAAAATCAAATCTGAATTTGAGAAACTTTACAGAATTCAGAATCAAGACTCAAGTGTTAATAACTTATGAAAAAAGTCTGCTGTTGGTACAAAGCAGTATCTAATTAAATACTTTTTCATAAAGTCACAATCCTTACTGGATGATTGACTTTGGGATGATTTTCATGCTTTTTCTTCATTTCTTCAAATTTTGATTCTTCTTCTTTCCTCTTTTCTTCATCCAGTGTTTTTAAATATTCTCTCCTTTCATGTTCCTTCATCATTTCATACCTTTTAAATTCTTCATGCCGAGTCTTATCATAGTGCTCCAAATCAGCTGTTGCCTAGAACGTAATCATTCACTTAAGCTACACACAGACAAGTATTTCAAAACATAAATACAAATAACGCAATTCTCAAATACAGCATGCTCTTTAAAGAGAGGAGACCAAAAACAAAACAAAACACTGGAATGGGACAGCAGAAATGTAATTCCACAGTTGTCTTTTGGTCATTACTACTACCAGGGATGTAGACACTGAAAGAAATCAAAAGTTGAAAGCTAGCTTCAACTTTAGGAATTTCCCTATAAACAAATAATACAAAAGTTGATTTTAGAAAGTAGAAGGAAGGGGCTGTATCAATCCGTACTGTATGAAAAAAAATGAGAATGGTTGCTAACCACGTAACTGTAGTTGCCAAGGTACAAGATCTCGTTTGGTAACTGTATTCTTAGTTGAGAGAGGTACACAAACTCTTACCCAGGATCCCTGAAACCAGCAGCCTGACCTACTCTCAGCTGTTGTGGGCGTTTGGAAAGTGAACACATCAGTGGAACATAGCTTGCTTTCTCTCACTCTTGATCTCCCCTACTTTCAGATAAATTTTATTAAATATAAAATCTCTGAATCCTGATGTGTTTCAGAATTTTCTATTTTATTTATACTTATTTTACTTGAAAGACAGTGAGAGAAAGAAAGAGATTCCCCATTCATTCATTCACTCTTCAAACACCCAACAGCCAGGCCCGGGCCAGGACAAAGTGAGGAGCCAGGAGCCAGGAGCCAGGAACCCAGTCAGGGTCTCCTGTCTGCAGGAATCCAACCACTCGAGGCATCACCTGCTGCCTCCCAGGATGACAACAGCAGGAAGCTGGCATCTGAAGCAGAACTGGGACTTGAGCTCGGGCACTCTGACATGGGATGCAGGCATCCCAAGTGGCATCTTAATTGCTTACCAAATGTCTGCCTCAGAATTTTCTAGATTTTTAGAAATATGGCACATATGCCATTTATTGGAACATCCTTGTGGTGTCTGTAATAAAACAGATTAGTATTCTTTTAACAAAAAAAAATGTATAAATACACTAAGTGGTCTAATTAAAAACTACAAATAGCATCACTATAATTTTGGTTAAATCAGGTCAAGTTTGACTTAGAGGTTTGGGAATTGTTGATACGGAATTATAAACCTATTTGTCTTTATTAATTTCTATGCTAACAAAGACTAAGTTATCTCCCTTTAAAAACACTGGGAAGATCATACAAAAATTGTACTTCTACAAGTTTAGCCACCATATTGTAAAACCTCAAAAATAAAAGAAACACAATTTCATTTGGCAATATTCTCACCGCTTTGATTAACATGTCTAAATCTGTGGATTCAAATTTCTCAGGATTCAGATGATTTAGATGCTCAAATTGTTTTAAAAGAGCTTGGTGGTCCATGCCTGTACCTGAAATGAAATAAAAAAAAAACTGTAAATGATCAATTATGAGACACCAAAAATATTCATCAAAATGACACTGTTTCTAGTAAATTTTTCAGTTGATTATTTTGGGAGTTACAAGTATACATAGTCTACAAATACAGATGGCTTTCAACTCCTTTTCAATTATGATACCTGATTTTTTTTTTTTCATTTGTATAACTGTTTTGGCAAGTCTTTGCAAAACAATGCTAACTAGCAGTGCTTACTGAAGGCATTACTATCTCATTCCTGATTTTAGTCAGAAGACATATTGGGTACTTTAAAACATGCATAGAAAAATTGAACTGAAAAGTAAATTTAGGAGCTGCCATGATGGCTAATCAACTGGCTAGTCCTCCACCTCCAAGCACAAGCATCTCATATGGACACCATTTCCTGTCCCGGTTGCTCTGCTTCCTATCCAGCTCCTTGCCTAAGGCTTGGCAAAGTAATGGAGGATGGCCTGTAAGCCTTAGGCCCCTGCACCCATGTGGGAGACCCAGCGGAAGCTCCTGGATCCTGGTTCCTGGCTTTGAATTGACTCAGCTTTGGCCACTGCAGCCATTTGGGGAGTAAACCAACACACAGAAAATCTTTGTCTTCCAATAAATGGAAGATCTTTTTCTCTTTGGCTCTCCGGCTCTCTGTAAATTTGCCTTTCCAATAAAAATAAATAAATCCTTTTTTTAAAAAAGGTAAATTTATGTAAATGTGAAGCCATGCATAATTTTTTCCAATAAATTCTTCACAGTATTCTTATACTAGAATTACCCTATGAAATATGAAGCCACTGAGCAGGAGATAACTAATTGTATTACAGCAATATTTACTAATTAATTATTACCTTACCTTTTCAAAAATTAACAATATTAAATGTTATTAGATGCATTTTCTATACATACGAGGATGATCATATGGATGGCTTATAAGATCATTTTTTAAAAGATCTATGTATTTCAAAATATATACTTTACATTTTTTTTTTAAGATTTATTTATTTTTATTGCAAAGGCAGATATATAGAGAGGAGGAGAGACAGAAAAGAAGATCTTCTGCCCAATGATTCACTCCCCAAGTGGCTGCAACGGCTGGAGCTGAGCCAATCCCAAGCCAGGAGCCAGGAGTTTTTTCCAGGTCTCCCAAATGGGTAGAGGGTCCCAAGGCTTTGGGCCATCCTTGACTGCTTTCCCAGGCCACAAGCAGGGAGCTAGATGGGAAGTAGAGCTGCTGGGATTAGAACCGGCACCCATATGGGATCCTGGGGTGTTCAAGGAAAAGACTTTAACCATTAGGCTACTGCATTGGACTGTAAAGGATTTTTTTTTTTAAGATTTATTTTTATTTGAAAGATTTTACAGAGAGAGAAGGAGACCTAGAGAAGGTCTTCCATCTGCTGGTTCACTTCCCAATGGCTATATCAGCTAGAGCTGAGTCAATGTGAAGCCAAAAGCCAGAAGCTTCTGGGTCTACCATGTGCATGCAAGGACCAAAGGCCTTTGGCCATCCTCCACTGCTTTCCCAGGCCAAAAACAGAGAGCTGAATAGGAAGTGGAGCAGCCAGGACATGAACTGGCACCTATAAGGGATGCCGGCACCACAGGGCAGAGGACTAGCCTGATGAGCTACCACACCAGCCGCCAAAATATATACTTTAAAGCTATTTAATTTTCTCATAGAACACAGGATTTCAGAGCAATTGCTTTGGTACAGTGGGTTAAGCTGCTCCTTGTGACACCAGCCTCTCATAAATTTAGAGTATTGGTTTGAATGCTTACTGCTTCATTTACACTCTAGTTCCATATGAAAAAGCCTGGGAAGGCAGCAGAAGATGGCCCAGGTATTTGGGACACTGCCATACAACTGAGGGACCAGGATGGAGTTCCTGAATGCTGCCTTCAGCCTAGGCTCCCCCTGGTGGCCTGGTGGCCAATAGACAGAAAATTGACTGCTTTCTCTCTTCTCTTTCCCCTCTCCTCTTTTTCATAAAAAAAAAAACAAGATTCAAATATTTATTTCAATTTATCATCTGTCCTTTGACTTTGTGACTTATCAACTTGCTATATCAAAATTTTAAAGTTTTTTCCGGCTTCTTATTTGATAATCTATATCATTGCATTTCCTAATATTAAATCAATATTGCATTCCTGAAACTAACCAACTTACTATGACATAGAATTCTTTTTAAACGCAATAACTTGGCTTTGGCATCAATACATAACAGTAATGTGAATGCAGTCATTACTTTTCAATGCTCTGAAATAGTTTAAATAGTAATGTTAATGTGATCTTTTAATGATTTGATGAATTTCCTTATAGAACTCTGGTTCTCTCTGACCATGTTTCTATGTATGAAATTATCCCAACTAGCTTTTCGATCTCTGCTTTCCCTGGATTTCCTGACACGTTATTTTCCTATTATAACTTAGCTGCACACATCCCATACTGAAGCACCTGAATGTGAGTCTCTGCTTCCGATTCCAGCTTCCTGCTAACGTGAACTCTGAGTGGCAGCAGGTGACTGTCACCCAGAGCAGGACCGGGTCCTGAGCCCTTGGCTTTGACCTGGCCCAGCCCCCACTGCTGCAGGCATTTAGAGGGTAAACCAGGAGCTGAGGGATCTTCCTGTCTTTCCCCATCCACTGTCTCTCTCTGCCCTTCAAATAATATAAGCAACTAATTTCAAAAATGAAATGGCTTTTTTCACTACTTTTCATTCATGTCATTAAGACTAATAATTTTATTTTAAATATTATAAAAATGTTACCTACTCCAAAATTAATTCAATTTTACAAACTAAGAACCATTAAATAATTACTAATATAAATTTCTGACAAGAGGCCCTCATGCTGTAGCCTAGAGGCCAAAGTTACCGCCTTGGATGTGCTGGGATCTCATATGGGAGCCAATTCTAATCCAAGCTGCTCCACCTGCCATCCAGCTCCTGCTTGTGGCCTGAGAAAGTCGTCAAGGACAACCCAAAGCCTTGGGACAATGTGCCCACCTGGGAGACCTGGAAGAAGCTCCTAGCTTCAGATTGGCTCAGCTCTGGCTGTTGTGGCTACTTGGGGAATAAACCAGCGTATAGATCTTTCTCTCTGTATCTCCTTCTCTCTGTAAATATGCCTTTCCAATAAAAATAAATCTTTAAAAAAAATATATTCTGACAAGAGCATGTCATGTGCAAATGCTAACTGAATTTGGGCCCAGTACAACAGCCTTGTAGCTAAATTCTTGCCTTGCATGTGCTGGGATCCCTAATGGGCACCAGTTCGTGTCCTGGCAGCTCCACTTCCCATCCAGCTCCCTGCTTGTGGCCTGGGAAAGCAGTTGAGGATGGTCTAAAGCCTTGGGACCCTGCACCTGCATGGGAGACCTGAAAGAAGCTCCTGGCTCCTGGCTTCAGATTGGCTCAGCTCCGGCCATTGCAGCCACTTGGAGAGTGAATCAGTGGATGGAAGATCTTTCTCTCTGTCTCTTTCTCTCTGTAAATTTGACTTTCCAATGAAAATAAATTTTAAAAAATGTTAACTGAGTTCAGCAAACAACTACTGACATTTTCTTACCTTTTTTTAGCACTCACCTTGAGCGGAATCCATTTTAGCTCTGATCAGCATCCGTAACCTTCCCACTTCTTGTCTTTTCAGTTCATCCAGCTTTGTCCTTACATGGTGACTTACTAAATCCAGTTCTTTGCTTAATCTCCCACTCTATTCATTAAAAAAGTTAATTTTATCAGTAACATTCCATTTTTAGATGAAATTCAACACATTACAGATAAGGTTATAACAAAAAGTATACCAAATAAAATACTTTGGAGTAATTTAGGTTAATTTGTTATTATGTAAAAAGACAGCAAGAGCATTTCTGGGGGACAGCATTCTAACACAATGTGTGCTTGAGATACCAGATTCTGACATAAGAATGTCATTTTTAGTGCAGGCTGTTCCATTTCCAATCCGAGTCCATGCTAACAAGCCCGGGAAGGCAGCAGAAGATGGTCCAATAGTTGGGCCCCTGCAACTCATAGCGAGGAACCCAGCTGGAGTTTCAGGCCCCTGGTTTTGCCTTGGTTGAGCCTTGGCAGCTGTGGCCAAGATCCTGAACTAACAGATGGATGATATTATATAATCTCTCCCAGCCTCTGACACTGTTTTCAAATACAAAAAATAAATCTTTTAAAAAGTGTATCTCTTTTCTTTTATACTTGTTTATATGTGCTCTTTTTGGAGCTGCTATCATGGTGTAGCACATTAAGCTTCTTCCTGCGATGCAGATATCCCATACAGGCACCAGCTCAAGCCCTGGCTGGAATACCAATACACCTGGGAAAACAGTTGGAGATGGCCCGAGTGCTCGGGTCCTGAACCCTCCTGGGAGATTTACAAGAAACTCCTTGTCCCTGGCTTTTGCCTGCCACATTTGACTGACTCAGCCATTTAGGGAGAGTATCAGTGGATGGAAGATCTCTCCTTCTGTCTATATAACTTTGATTTCAAATAAATAAAAATTTTAAAATCCTCTTAAAATTTTTATTACAAATTCCAATTTACAGAGGGGATATGCAGAGAAAGATATTCTGTCTGCTGGTTCACTTCCTAAGCGGCCACAATGGCTGGAGTTGAGCAGATTCAAAGCCAGGAGCCAGGAGCCAGGAGCTTCTTCCAGGTCTCCCATGCAGGTGCAGGGTCCCAAGGCTTTGGATTGTCCTCTATTGCTTTCCCAGGCTACAAGTAGGGAGCTGGATGGGAAGTGGAGCTGCCAGGATTAGAATCAGTTCCATATGAGATCCTGATGCATGCAAGGTGAAAATTTAGCCACTAGGCTCTTGTGCCAGACCCATAAATATATATTTAGAAACAATGATAAAAACATAATATACAATCCCTCTACAGAGCTATATTATTCAGTCACGAAAAATAATGGAATGCTGACACACGTACAGCATGAAAATGTTACACTGAGGCAAAGACTTCAGACAGAAGAGATATGTGGTATATTTTTACTTTTACAGGAAATGTCTAGAACAAGCAAATCCCCTTTCTCGGTTACACCTTAAATGTTGGCATAATCTCTACCAGGGAGGTTGACTTTCCTCCCTCACCCACTGCTCCATCGTGAGCCCTGTGTCTGTCCTCTATATCCGTCTAATACAGTTTACACTCACCACATAGCCATCCTAATCATGTCTTTCTGGGCATGACTTTCTCGCGCACACTCCTTAATGACTGGAATGAGTCTCATCTTACATCCCAAGGACTCAGCTCAGTGTTTATCTGGCTCAGATACTGTTAATTACTTAATTACAGTTACCTTTATTTCTTCTATATCTGCTTTTTGGAGCTTTTCTCTAAAATGGTTATCTGTTTCCAGCACATCAATCACTTGCTTGAGATATTCATCATAATAAAGTCCAGTGTCCTTCAAAGCAAGAAGCAAACAATAACATTTCTGAAAGTTGTGTGTATGCGGATCTAAAGATTCCAATCTGAAAAACATTTTCTACCAAAATGGCACTGAGACATTGAGACATTTTTACTTTGATGATTTCAATCATTATAACGAAAAATGTATATTTTTCAAAGAGTTTTATATACAAAACAAGTATCTTGTTTTATTTTTACATTAAGGTAGGTTTTCTATATAGTTTACACCTTGAGGATTTAAGTCATATTGTTAACTGATTTTTCCCTGGTGTCCATCTGTCTTCTCTGAATGAGACCCACTGCTCTCTGAGCTGATCAGCTCTGCACATACTTTAGAAAAAATACTGTATTAATTCTTCTACATGCTAACAACTGTAAATAATATGAAACAGCATATGTTTGTCTAATACTTTTCTCAGTGCTATTTAAGGAATGTTTTCTAAATGTCCAATTTTGTAATAAATAATAGCACTAGTTCAGTGATAAATGTCCCATTCTACTTTACTTAGTTATAATTTCATTTTGCTTCATCTCATTTAGTTGCAATCACGATTCTCTCCACTTAGATGCATTTCCTCCCATCTTACTTACTGGTGGTTCAATCTTGGCGCTTTCCACAGGTTGACTATTTTGCACTTTTGTCTTGTCTATGTCTATAGGCACAGCTTCAAAGGCAGTAAGCAGACATGTAACCATGAGAACACAGTGTTGGGGTACAATGGTCCTCCACCTCATCTGAAATAAAGGGGAAGTGCATAACATACTGTAAATATATACATGCATTCCCCATGTCACATTAATATATTCAATTTCAAGAGGCTCAATCCAACAAAAAAAAAATTTTACAAAAAGGGTAAAAATATATAACATACCAAAGACAATGTTTAAAGGAGAAATTTTTTAGCCAAAATTAAATCTGCTCCTGTGGTATGAGACTACATTTAGATAATAACAAAAGTGTCAAATAAAGAGAATAAGAAACCCCAAACTGTACCCAACAAGGCTTCAAAAATTCATGGAAAATGGGATCAAACGGTGTTCATTTTCAAAACCAGATTTGTAGCATATTTATTGAGATCCATTTTGCATGTCATAAAATTCACAGCGTTAGAGCACGGCACATTAAGCTGCATCTTGTGATGCCAGGCCCTATGTGGGAGTGCTAGTTCAAGTCTCAGATGCTCTCCTTCCCACTCAGTTTCCTGTCAACACACCTAGGACAGCACTTGTTGACCACTCAAGTATTTGGGACACCACCACAGATGCAGGAGATCAGAACGGAATTCAAGGTTCTGGCTTTTGTCTGGCATCTCAGATCTGGCTCTTGTGACCATCTGTGAGATGAACCATGAGATGGAAGACCTGCCTCCCAACTCCTCACCTTCTCCCTCAACTTTTCCCTCTCCTCCTTCTCCCTCTGCTGTTATGAATTTCAAATAGATTTTTTTTTTTAAATTCACCCACTTGGGCTCTACATGGTAGCCTATTTGCTAAATCTCTGCCTTGTATGTCCTGGGACCCCAAGTGAGTGCTGATTCATATCCCAGGTGCTCCACTTTCCATCCAGCTCCCTACCTGTAGCCTGGGGAAGCAGTTGAGAATGGTCCAGAGCCTCAGGACCCAGTACCCATTTGGGAGACCCAGAAGAAGCTCTTGGCTCCTGAGTTCCAATTGGCTCAGCTCTGGCTGTTGCAGTTATTTGGGGAGTGAATCAATGGGCAGAAGATCTTCCTCTCTATAAATCTGACTTTCCAGTTAAATAAATAAATAAATAAATACATAAATACATAAATAAATAAATATTTTTTAAAAAATGATGCAACTGAAAATTTTGCTCTCAGACTTCTCAGACTACCCGCGAATTTGTCAGAAATGAACTTCCTCAGGCTATACCCAAGAGCTCTGGGATGAGGCTCAGGGATTTGTTTTGGTTAAACTTTCCAGGTGGTTTCTACGTGAACTCAACCCTGACCTCCACTATTCTCCATGACTCCAACATTGTGAGTAAATGTCTTTCATGATGAAATGTTCTAAGACATTGGCTCAATTATGCTAACTTTGGGAGTTCGTGATGGAATTCTATGCATCATGAAATATCTGATAGGATAATTTATGTCTCTATAAATTATCATCCCACTATAAATAACCTCCTCTTCCCCCGCAGCTGTTTTTTCCTGAGAAGTAAGGTTTATTTCTCATTCATGTGTCATGCCCACCATACACACAGGTGTGTTTTATTTTTGCCTTGAAATATAATGAATGTCTTTTTTAAAAAGATGTATTTATTTTTATTTGAAAGGCAAATTTATAGGGAGAAGGAGAGACAGAGAGGAAAAGATCTTCCATCTGATGGTTTATTCCCCCAAACTGCTGCAATGGCCAGGCCTAAGCCAATGAGAAGCTAGAAGCTTGTTTTGGGTCTCCCACGTGGGTGCAGGGTCCCAGGTACTTGGACCTGCTTGGCTTTCCCAGGCCACTAACAGAGAGCTGGATGGGAAGTGGCACAACCACTTTTTAAAATTGCATAATTTGATGTTTTTAATATGTTCTCAAGGTTATATAACCATTACTATTTAATTTTAGAACATTTTAACCACCCCAATGAGAAATACCCCACCCATCTGCAGTTACTTCCCTTTCTCTCCCTGCTCCCCACCTTCCTCCCTTACATTCCATCTGTAAATTTTACCTACTTAGGACATTTCATACAAATAGGATCACACAATGTGTGGGCTCTTGTATATAGCTCTTTCCACTTAGCACTTTGTCTTTGTGATTCAATCATTTATAACGTGCACCAGGACTTCATTCCTCTTCACCACTTTTAGACATTCCATTGTCGGGATACACCACGTGTTTTATCCATTCATCAGTTGACAGAGTGGTGCTCTTTTACTTGGGTCCATTTTGAATAATGCTGCAGTGAGCATTTGTGTTAAAACTATTGTATTAGGGCCCGACACAATAGCATAGCAGCTAAAGTCCTTATCTTGAATGTGCTGGGATCCCACATGGACGCCAGTTCTAATCCCGGCAGCTCTGCTTCCCACCCAGCTCCCTGCTTGTGGCCTGGGAAAGCAGTCAAGGACAGCCCAAAGCCTTGGGACCCTGCACTAGCATGAGAGACCTGGAAGAAGCTCTGGGCTCCTGGCTTCGAATTGGCTCAGCTCAAGTCGTTGCAACCACTTGAGGAACGAACTATTGGATGTTAGATCTTCCTCTGTCTCTCCTCCTCTCTGTAAATCTGCCTTTCCAATAAAAAAAATCAATAAATCTTTAAAATAAACTATTATGTTAGTATGATTTCAGTTCTTTGGGCTATATACCTAGGAATAGAAGTGTCGAGTCTATTTGGCAGCTCTGTTTAACATTTTGAGGAGCTGCCAAGCTGTTTTCCAAGGCAACTGCACCACTTTACTTTCCCATCAACAATAAATATGGGTCTGATTTCTTTGCTTTCCTAATGTCTTACTGACATTTCTGCAGCTCTTTTACTCCTCTAACAAGTCTATCATGCATTAGAAAGCAAGCCAAGAGAGGAATGTGTTTGTGGTCATGAATGTGTGCGTGTGCAATCACGCATGTGTGTGGATGTGCCCCCTGGCACCATCTCAAAGTTGCAAAGTCACAAAATGACTACAAAACCTACTCTAAAATACCTTTAAAGAAAGATTCAGGGGAGTCGCCCCAACTAGGCTGCAGTTCCCACTGGTTTGCGTGAGGGCCGAGTATGAAGTGGGCAGGATCAGGCTGGACTAAAACACCATCGCGTGGAAGACAGGGCTGGAAACAGAACTGACCCAGTAATTGCAACAACCAACATGTGCATAAGCTGATTGGGGCAACAGACTGTGCCAGACCCTGTACTGGCAAATTCACACAAGAATCAGGTCTGGGATCATTTCAGACGAAGTTTTTTTGCAGATCCCTCCAACTGAACTGCTGATTTCAGAAGCCCAACCATGAAGGACTATGTCAGCCAGTGGATTCTGAAGAGATTTCATCACGATTAGAACGGTGAGATTGACAGCAACTCAGAACTTTTGAACTATCAAAACTGCTTGAGCAGGACCCTTGGAGTGCACCTCACATTGGGGACGGGATGGGAAGGAGGCTGGGCGGGGCTTCTCCCTGTGTTTCTCCCCTGACCCCAGATACAAGGAAAAAAGAAAGATGAAACTAGTGAGAAAACAATGATATTACCCACTTTCCTGTAGCTTTTCACCTGTACCCTAAGTAAGATTATCGAAAGAATAAATAAATAAAGTGAAAAAGAAAAGATTCATCTTTTTTGAAAAGCTGAGTTAGAGAGAATGGTAGCAATCCAAGTTTAGGAACAAGGAACTTCCTCTGGGTCTCCCACATGGATGCAGGGATGGAAGGACTTGAACCATCCCTTGCTGCTTTCCCAGGCAGGATTGCAAGTGGAGCTGCCAGGACATAAACCAACACCTAAATGGGATGCCAGCATCATACGTGGTGGCTCAGTCCACTACGCTATAGTGCCAGTCCCTCTAAAACATGTTCTGACTTTATGGTTCACACACATCTAACTAAATTCCAAGCTTATTATGAATAACAATATAAACCATCTATAGAGTATTTGCTATGTAACAAGGAGTATGCTAAACATTTTTATATTAATTCAGTTAAATCTAAACAGCAAACTTCTAAACTAAATGCTCTCTTCAATTTCAAGTACAGAGAACTCATACCTTTGCTTTAAGAAGCTGTATTTACTAAGAAATAAATCATGAGATATCTAAGAACTCTAATGAGAAAATTAGAACATGTTATTGTGAGACACCTTACAAGACACCGACAGTTGGAAGAACATAGTGGGTTCAAAAATGATAAGTCATTGTTGTGAAGATATCATTTCTAAAACTGCATCTGTATGTCTTTGTAGTTTAAATGTTGTCTAATGTTGTTTTGAGCCTATTACCAATAAGTTACCTTTCATTTTCCTGGTAGGTTACCCTATATGTCTTCCTCACACTTTCTAAGGCTATGGAAGATTTCTTTGCTCTCTGCCTCATTCTTGATGAACACAAGGTTTTGAAAGTGTAAAAGGTTTTAACATTGACCAATACATTTCGGTTGGGACAGTATTATTCACAGGTTTATCTGAGGAAGATTTACTGTCCTTGGGAATCTTTACGATTAATTCACGTCCCTGAAACACTGTAGGTTCAGCTAGGAGCTGTCTAGCCATCATATCTACTAACGAAAATCCTAGAGTTCCCTGGCAGGGCGGCCAGCAGGCGAAGCCTAGCGCCAAATGGCGCGCTGGCCGCCCTGAGGCCGCATACCACATGGCTGCAGCTGCGGCCCGTGTGTGGTGGGCATGGGGCGGCCGTTGCATCCAGCGTCCTCCGCGTCCAGGCCCGCTCACGAAGGGTTAGGTCGCTGGACTCCCAGTCCGCCCTCCCCCCGACTCCGCCCCAGCTCGACCACCCAGGGGAGCAGTAGGCGGAGTCCGACGTGCCTAGCAAAGGCAGCAGGCGCACCTCCCAGCTTTTACAGACGTCTGGGGAGTGACCCAGCAGATGGAAGACCTCTCTCTCCACCTATCCCTTTCCTCTCTCTGTCCCTCTATTTCAAATAAACAGATTGCTCTTTAAAAAAAAAAATACCATAATGGTGAATTTTAGAATGTGTGAATCATTCTTCAATTTTTTAAGGAATAAAAATGGAGCAAAAATCCAAGCTCATAAACTAAAATGTGAAGATAGGAAAAAGCATAAGTTGAAAATCACTACCTTTTAAAACAAGCTTTATAATATTTCATAATTATTCCTATTGTTCTATTGTTAATTCTATCTGCCTCTTCTACCATTGCTGGAAAAGTATATGCAAAGCTTACACTATGATTTCTGACAGATCTGAGATTTTCTAGCTTTCTGGTAGATTTAACCCTTTATGACATTTGAGTGACCTTTATATCCCAACTTGCTCTCCCCCTATTTTTTTGATATCATCTGACTAATCCAGTTTTCCTTTCATTAGCATGCTAGTATACATACATATGCATATCGAAACTTATCCATGCGCACCCTCACCACATTTATTGCTTTTTTATCATTTCTGATCATCTCTGCCTTCTATCTGGAGTACATTCTCTGTTTATATATAATAATTACCTTAAATGATATTATGCTGAATTATAAGACACATAATTCCTCAGTTTAACATCTCAGAAACCAGGGGTGTCTTTCAATAAGTGGAATATTAAAATTGTGGTTGGACAAGTAGCAACAGCAGGAATCTCTCTACCTGCACATGTCTGGACCTTATCATAATTATTCCTATTGCCATAACTTTAGG